TAAGCCTGTAGGAGCCTCGGCTGGATGTCCGACTCCTCCCACATCCAGGTCGGCCATTTTGATTAGGTCATGTGACTAGCAGCTTTCTGAGGTGGAAACAAAACTTTACTTACTATACGAAATCAGAAGATAAACAATGTCCTAAACCTAACCCTGACCCTAAGCCTGATCCTGACCCTAACCCTAAACCTAACCCTGACCCTAAACATAACCCTAACTCCAACCCTAACCCTAACCCTAACCCTAACTCTAACCCTGACCCCTAACCCTAAACCTAACCTTGACCCTAACCCTAACTGTAACCCTAACCTTAACCCTAACCCTGATCCTGACCCTAACCCTGACCCTATCCCAGACCCGAACCCTGACCTTAAACCTAACCCTTTTATGGGAAAAAAATATGCGTTTTTTATGCAGTTTTAATCTTTTTTTAAAGATTTTAACACATTTTTAGCTGACTTTTTAGGAGCTGACTCCTATTTAAAACCTTTTATAGTTATTTTACTTACCTGGTACCCATGAAAAAACAGCAAAGAACATAACCCTAACCTAAACCCTAACCCTAACCCTAACCCTAACCCTAACCCTAACCCTAATCCTAACCCTAACCCAAACCCTTCATAATTGTGAGAAATAAATATTTTTTGGTTAAACTTGTTTGGACTTATTGTACAAACCTATTTAACATCCACTATTTTAACATAATATTATGGATAGAGTTTAATTAAGTGTTTGCAAGATTCATTTCACTATTTTTAAATGAATGTCTATATTGCCATGAAGCAATTAGGATTTTCTTGCCTGGGATCTTCCTATTGGTGACCTAATCAAAATGGCCGACGTGGACGTGGGGGAGTTGGATATCCATCCTTGGCTTCCTGCAGACGGACTTGGACATAGTGGATCTTTTAGAACCAAAAGCAGAGAAAAGACCTCTAAAGACCAGATTCTGGTCCTGTTTGAGGATCCTCCTGCTTTTTTTTTTTTACCTTTAGTTCTTTTCTTTTCTCTGATCTGTTTTCTGTCTCTAACAGGATCGTTGTTCACGGAGAAACCTTCAACAGGGCCGTCGTTCCTTTTTCTGCCAGAGCCTTCAACTTCCAGGCCGAGTACAGACTAACAGAGGAGCAGGTGAGAGTTCCCCTCCTCCTCCTCCATTAAATGATTAAAATGACGTTTTCAGGAATTTAGTGCTGCAGAGTTAGAGCACAAATCCGTTTTTTATAGGATGTTTGAGAGATTTTGGGTTGTTTTTATTCCATTTTGCCTCATGCACGCTCTATGTGAAGGAAGGGATCAAAAGGTAGGTGTTTTAAATCATTTAGTTTGATTAAATTAGAATTTCCATCGCAAGTAATCAACTTATAATTGACTAGGCATTGGATTTTTTATTTTCATTTATTTTTTACAGTCAAACCACTTCAGTCCCGGATCAATAGTCTGTATTAACCCTAGTTTAGAGGTTAAAATTTGCATTATTAAAATGATTTTTTAAATGGAAAATAAGCTTTTAATATTTATTTAACATTAAACAAATTTAGAGACTGAATATGTGTCTTAAAAGTGTCCTTAGATTATGTTAGAACTAAATTGAGTGATTTTACAGTAAAAAAACTTCAATCCAGGATCAATAGTCTGTATTAACCCTTTAGAGGATTATTGGTGTTTCAACATGTACACAGAGGCTTTTAAAACATAATTTACACTTTTTTTTGTGGAAAATAAGATTTTAATATCTATTTAACATTAAACACATTTAGAGACCGAACCTTAATAACACTTGGATCTGTGTATAAAAAGTGTCCTTAGATGTTATTTTCATTAAATTGAGAGATTTTTTTTTACAATCAAACCACTTAAATCCAGGATCAATAATCTGTATTAACCCTTTAGAGGAATATTGATGTTTCAACATGGACACAGAGGCTTGTTTTAAACATAATTTACACTCTTTTTTTGTGGAAAATAAGATTTTGATATCTATTTAACATCAAGTAAAATTAAAAATGATTAATTAAATAATCTGTATGAACCCTTTAGAGGCTTTTT